TCCAATACAGAGCATTGGTGTGACCCGAAGTTACAGGTTAATCTAAGCCCCAACTTAATGAAGATCCATTACCGTAACCAAGCCTATTTTTCAAACTTTCGTCGTCCGTGAGATTTGAACCCTAGACCTGCTACTTGGAGAGAGTGACGACTTGACCACTTCACTAAGCCGCCACATCTCTTGTATCATGTTTATTCAATTCCTCAATATTTAATTTATATTGAAATTGTAAATCTTCTTTTTCATTGATATATTTTGTATTTAAAATATCAAATTCATCTTCGTATGTTAGATGTTCGTCTTGATAAATAATTTTTTTTTTCTTAACTTTTTTTAAAAAAAAATCATCTATTTTTCTTGATTCAATTTCTAATATTTGTAAATTACAAAAGGGAGATTTTTTAAATTTTTTAATACTTTTTTCAGTACAGGTAAAACATATTTTTTTAATACAATCACATGGTAAAGTATAAAATGATATCTTCTTTTCATAACAAATATCACATTTCTTTCTTTTTACTATTTTATTTAATAAATAATAAATAACTATAAATCTTATATATATTTATAAAATTAATAAAAAATTATTAATTAATTGTATTTAAATTGTCTTTTTAAAAATAGGTTTACATTTATGAAATTTTTTATAATATAAAGAAGATAGTGATTTAGAACAAAATTTACAAATAATTTTTTTTTTATTAAAATACATATTTCTCTTATGTTTATTAAAATTAGAAATTACTGTTGTGCAATATTTTTTATTAGTCTCTTCACATATTTTACAATTATAATGTTTTAAGGTATTATGTTTCTTAAATTGATAAATATCATCGAATTGAGATTTGTTACATTTGTCACAAGATAAATTTTTAATATTTTTAAACATCTCAAGTTCATTATAGATTTCTTTAATATTATCTTTTGTGTAAATAATAAACATTATTATATTATTATTGAGTATTTATATTATTATTAAAATCAAAAATTGAAATATTTATATTTTAAAATAAATTATTTGATAATTTACTGATATTTATTAATTAAAGAAAATAAATCATTTCAAAATCGGATTCAAATTATATTCAAATAAAAGATATAATGAAGCTTTAGATTTTTTTGAAGTATCAGTTATAGATCCGAAATCTTGTTTTTATCTTGGAATTTTATACAAAAACGGATTTGGAGTTGAAAAGGATTTATGGGAAGCTAAAAATATGTTTGAATCATCTTTTGAAGATTTTAAGGATGAATCTGATTATGAAAAATATAAAAAATTCCTACCAATATCTGGATTAAAATCTATTATTATTAACATAGAATTGTTTAATAAAATAGAAAAAAAATATAATTGGTTATATAATAATTACAAAAATAAATATCAAGAAAATTTTGATAAATTTAAATACATTATCGAACATTGCTACAAATTAGGGACCTTAGTACGATACGAAATAAAATGCAAATTATGCGATGCGATTGGTTCAAATTATGCCCCCAATGCGAATACTCTCAAAATTATGCGAAATAATCATAAATTATATGTTTTTTTTTTAAAACAACCAATAGTTTTTATTTATTTGTTAAAATTTAAAAAATTTAACATGCCAATCGAATTTTC